ACACTTTTCTGCTACAGCAAGGGTTTTCTCTATTAATTTTGAAGCGCCGTCTACCACTGATGTCAAGCACGTAACCTCTTACGTGATTTCACTCTTCTATCTGCCTCTGGGACAGCCAATCACAGGTGCCGTAGACCGCTATTGGCCAAGCAGTTGATCAAGCGGCCATTGACTCATTCTGGCGTGGCGTTTAAGCATTCACGCCCACGACACACCAGCAGACAGACGTGCGCACAGGGCCCGAGCACATTTCTTGTTATCAGCGGTGTCGGATTGGCGAATTTTTTTACCCGGTTTGGAGTTAAAGTCTAATGAGAAAGGGGGGGCTAAACCAAGGTTTCAGCATGAGAAAAAAGTGGATTTTCCTATTCTGAAGTAGATAAAACTCTGGTCATCATAGAACACTTTTTCCATTTGCCACAAATTTTCTTTTGTTTTTTTGCTATTACTATGTCGTAAGGATGGATAGAAGGACTAAATCTTGAGCAATAATGGCCAGTATGAAGAAACATTTTTGCTAAACTGGTTTTGAATTTGTTAGCTTTCAAACTAGTACAGAATTTACAAAATCGAGCATCCGATCAACGTCCGCACTTCAGGGCAGCCATGGCTAACACCTTTCTCTGACTTCATTTGCCGCTGAAGAAGTGTTATTGCAGCAGCTTAAGTAAGTAGGTAAAACCCTTGTCGCTGTGATATTCAGACCCGGTTCCGTAGGAGAAGAGAATAGTTGGGACGCCAAGTGGAAGGAATAGTACATTCTTTCCAGAGCTAGTGAAGAACAGTTTGGAGGAAGCTGACTAACGTAAGTGTGAGAGCGCGGCACTCGCCACAGTGAAGTTCTGTATGAGTCAGTCGTGAAGGTTACTGGTACGAGCTGATTGGGTACTGGCACATGTGCACTTGCTAGCAGCCGCGAGGTGTTGAGCGGGTCATTAGAGTGTCCTATGATGATAGTAGCGGCAGCGCTAGAACAGCGGCAAGTTGGAATCTAAGAGTGATTGTACTGCCCCAAAGTTCGAAGTCAAACTACTTGTATACAAATATCCAGCGCCTCTTGGGGAGGCCTGACAAACTGAAAATATATTTGACTGACCAGTCTGCAGATTTTCCTACCAATAAGGTAAAGTAGGTTGATAGAGAACATCGGTGATTGCGAATTACCACTGCTAAATATTCAAAAGGAACAGGAAAGACAGCTGGGATAGAGACGTATACGAATAACTTGACCGACTCTGAGAAGATGGGTGAGGTCTGTAATGACCCGAATACCAGTGTATGTTGCAAATGCCGAACCTCTTGCCTCTCGCGAATGCTTGCACGTGCGCACCAGTGGCCCCCAATCTGGACTGACCCAAGTAGCCAATCGTCGTCAAGGTTGTCCCACACACGACCTGGCTAGAGTTTCTCTGACGACATCGGCGCTCTCAGACTGGCCTTGCGGCTACGTAGGTGCGCTCATGCGGGCCCAAACATCAAACGACCTATTGTCCAGTAGTTATGCACAGAATAAATTATTTCACTCACCTGGCCTCTCGCTTGTGCTCTTCACATATGAAACTGGGCCTAATGATCGTAGCGATTAGAGTCTGCTCTATTTATTTAAGCCGCTGCGATAAGTCTGTTGGCGGAATGGATTACTAAGACACGAGTTCGCGTGAGCTTGCAGCCATTACTATCTAGAAACCACAGAGAACGGATCCGGTAACTGATTTTCGTCTGTTGGCGAACAAAAAGGAGATCACTAGTCAGGTTGGTGTTGCTGTTTTAAAAGGTGACTTTGCTGTATACGGAATATAATGGCCTAATATGTACGTAACGCTTATCCGTACGTTTTTTTAAGTGCATTCTGGTAGTGTAAGCGAAGTAGATGTATTGGATCACAAAATGCTAACTGAAATGCGTTTTAAGTTAGAAAAGATGACTTAATTAGGATTGTAATATGACTTATCGTACAGCATAATCTCCAGGTATTTTAGTTGCGATAGTATGCGACCGTTTTAGCGAGCATCTTTTTGGCCGGCTGAAAACAAACTAACTACTATAAAAAGGAATTTTTGTGTACGGCATGTATGACCCAAATCATGAACTATTATTATCAACATTTGAGTGGCTGGTTTGGCATCTTTTTTAAATTTTTGTTTGTTGAATTGATATGTGTGTAAGACAGTCTTTTAGCAAATAAGAGTGTATTTCAATTCTGTTTACTTGAAGGAAGACATGACTGGAATTTGTGCGCAGTAGTTTCGTGGTACAATCCACCATAAGCAACTTAACTGTTTCGAGGTCAGCCTGAATTACAGCAGTTTGACGCGCAAAAAGACATTCAAAATGTATTAGTATTTCAGTTGACCCAGTTGGGAAGAACTCAACGAACACTTCCACAAGTGGATCAAATTGCTCATTCAAATCTGCCCAAACTCAATATCAGAGTGCTAGTATTTTTCATTTTTTAGTTTTCTTTTCATTTTCTTTTGTTTTATTGTACACTCCTTCACTGTCTTGAGTAAGTGGCCAGCCATAAAGTTATTTTCTTCCTATTAGAACAGTTATTTAGTAAGTAAATAGCAATCTACCAACCAAACTTCGTCTTTTTTGGAGAAAAGTCTGTTCTTTATCGTACTATACGTTTCGTGGATGGGCATTGGGCGCTCTCTGTGGCGTTCGTGTCCCTGTATTAGTTAGGTCACAAATGGTACTGTAAATCCTTCCCGTTGTTTTTCAGTGTTATTCCTATTTAAAATAAATTTTATATATATTTGATAGAAAATTACGTATTCTAGAAATTTTACGTCTGAAAGAAGGGTATCGTTTAATTTCAACCAAAGTTTTCGATTTCTAAATAATCTCTAACACAACCTGCCAATATGCTTTTATTTAGGGTTTCAAAAATACAAGCATTATATTTTGCATGTAAGGAGAACTAAGTTGCTAAAGAGATATCCGGCAGTGGTCCTAAACGATTTTCAGTGAATGTGGATCATGTTGTGTATTTTAAAATCAACATTAGTAAATGGTAAGGTGCTCACTGGTCTGATAAGAGGAGATGCACGTCCCGTGTTGCCTTGGAGCTCAGTCTATAACCCTTGCAGACACTAACACAGTGACTTTTAGTATCTGATGAAGTGGAACCGACAAAGACAATAGAAGAAGAGAATACGATCACTAGAACGAGAGTTATATTTTCTTGACGTTTCGGATTCCGTCGGGAAGACTATGACTACGCTGTGACTATGCTACCATTACCTATAATTAAGGATTCCCGACGGAATCCGAAACTTCAAGGACAAGAAAGACCCGACTGGCCATTTCTGGCTTGATAGCCGTCATCAATCAGTCAAACCCAGTCCCAGGGCTGGCGATCCCCGACATTCGAACCCGAGATCTTTGGTCATTGGGTGCAAAACTCTACTATTGCACCATGGGCCCGCTGTTTTTGTCGGTTGCACTCGGGGAGATAATGAAGGATAGGGCACTCACAGATCTGGTTACGGCACATACTTATCCCGTTGTGCCTTGGAGCTCAATCTAGACCCATTTATCATATTTTCGATTGCAATCGACAAAAAAACGAGCCTGTGGTGTAATGGTCGAGTGTTGCACCCGGTGACCAAAGGTCTCGGGTTCGAATCTCGGAGGTCACCGGCGTTGGGATTAGGTATGACTGTCCACGCGGACGCTGACGCACGAACGCTCACTGTTGCTAACAAGTGCACATGCCCTAGCCTGCATACGCAAATCCTGTCCGAAACATTTCCCTATGGTTGACGCACACAGGACCTCACAGTGATTATCACTCTCTCAAGGCCGGTCGCGAATTCGTCTGACAGTCAACTTCCTACCTATTTTCCACTTCTTCTGTACAGAATAAACAATTCCTTCTATTTGGTGTCTCCTTTCTTCTCTTTCACAGGGAACTAGACTTAAGAATCGCAGCCGCAATGGTCTTCCCCGTTAACCTTAACCATTGCGATTGCATTTGCGGGCTCCCTTATCTTTGTCAGTTCCACTTCTAGATACAGTGTTTTATGAAGAGGCATTTTATGAATCCAAACATCTTATAATTAGACTATGTTTAAAAACCAAAATACCCTTTTTAATGTTACTTTAGTAAACATGTTTGGGTAAGAATTCCTTATAATGAACACTGCAGTAACAAAGAACCTAGGTTTTGTGATACGAGACCGCCGATAATAGGGGTTATATGGGTAAGGCGTAGCGGGGAAAGAAAAAGTTGAGAATTAAAACTAATGAAACTAGACTAAAATAAGCTTAACTAAGTAAATTAAAAACTTAAACTAAGTTAAATTAAAAGAAGTAAAACCCAACAATTAATTTACAGATAGAC